CACCCCTTTTTAGGACCCGAGTGTTTCGGTACTTCTTTCCCATTAATTAATGTCTGCCTCTGTTTGGCTTGGAATCTGCAGAGTTCTCCCTCTGTCCTCTCCCCCAGGACTAGAGAGAAACAGACTGGTCTCACAGCCTGCAGCCATGGCCAGTAGCTCAGGCTCCTGAACTGGGCTCAGACTGTCCACACTGAAGCCCTTTCAGGCCAAAGGCATCTGGGGAGATCCTGGCAAACTCAGTTATCGGGATTTTTCCAGAGCCCTTGGGTCCTGAGAGCCAGGCTGTGTGGCCTTGGGCAAGTCCTTCTGTGTCTCTGTTTCCTATCTGCAACATGAGGGAAGGGGGCCTTCGATTCTAGTCTGGGTTTCTCTGAATGAAGAGTCAGAGTTTAAGAACACCAAGTGAGAAACTCAGATGCGATGAGAAAGCCTATTGTTAGGGAGACGTTTTTTCTACATCAGAATCTAGGACCAAAAAGGAAGAATTTAGTGACTTGGATCTCTGTTGTGGATTTTGCTCCAGGAAATGGTTCTGCCAAGAAGGACTATGCTAAAACTTGTTTCCAAGGGTCAAGACTTGCTGGGTATCTTGCAGGGCAGGTAGGAGCCTGTCTCGATTCGGAGAGAAGATGAAACTCCCCCTGAAGGTTTCTCCCATCTGGCCAGCCCTGGCCCTTGCCCAAGTTCTGGCCCTTCTCTCCCCAGCTTCCTGAGAAGTCTGGGTTCTGCTCCCTCCACCCCACCCCGGGTTCTCTCCTGTGTGAGCCAGAGGCTTTCCTGACACTGCCAGTTCTGAGGGCAGAAGTGGATGGCAGCGGGTGAGGGTGGATATGAGTGGGTGAGGAGAGGGTGAGAGGTGGGGCAGGCAGAGGGTTCGGAGGTGGAGAGCACAGGTGTCATGAAGGCCAACAGAGATCCTTGGCCTCCACCTGCCCATCTCTCCAACTTCGTCTCACGCCCCCTCCCCCTGCACACTCTACTTGGGCCTCACTGTTTCAGCAAAGCTCTTAAGCATCTCAAATCTGCTCTCACACTGCTTCCCACCTGCCTCCCTCTTATCTTCAAACTTCACCTGACATGCCCGCACTCCAGAAACGCTTTGCAGGACCCTTACCCTGCCACCTGGCTAAGCGGGTGGCCCTGTCCTCTAACCACATGCTGCATGGTCCCGCCATCGCACGTGTCTCTAATGAGACTTAGGTGTTTGTTTTCTTGTTTACCATCTGTTCTTTCTCCCAGACTGTGAGCTAACAGAAGGCAGGGATGGTGACAGCCATTCACTTACTCAGACACAGAGCCTGCCCTCATGGAGTCTGTGCTTAGTGGGGGACCGACATAGAAATGATGTGTGTGAACATATGGACTATGAGACCATAGTAGTCATGCAAGAGGCATGTGGTGTGTTGAGAGCCCAAAAAGGTCCAACAAGGCATCTCTAAGGAAGTGACACTAGAGGGGTGAAAGACATTCAGAAGGTGAGGAGAGAGGAGACTCTGCAGGCAGTAGCCTGTGCAAAGTCCCTGTGGCAGGGAGGAGCATGGCGAGAGGAAGGGATTGAGAGGAGGCCAGAGGATGAAGCACCTATGAGAGGAAGCTGAGGCCTAGGAAGGTGACCTTGTGAGATTTGCATTTCAAACAGATGTTCTTAGCCCTGGTGTGGAGAACTGATTGGGAGGAGCCAGGGTGGGGAGTTTGGGGAGAACAGGGAGGAGACTGTTGAGCTGTTCAGGGAAGTTAGGATAGTGGTACAGACTGAGAGAAGTGGGTGGGTGCGGAGACTTTATTTACAAGTAATAACATTTAGAAAAGATCCACCCCTGGCCCTTAGAAGCCTTTCCATCAATCCAAATGGCTGGGGAGATTTTTAAAAGGTGCACCAGACAGGCCTTAGTGATGAATGTGGTGCATAAAAGTGTTGGTACACATGTGTGGTGGGCTGGTAGGACCAGCACAGGGCATGGCAGGTAAGAGTCACCCCCTTAAGGCCCTTCTTCTTCCCTCTCCCCTCTCTGGGCCCTGAATCTTGGCCCAGAGGGAGTCCTGGCTCTCTCACCTTTGACCTCTGGCCTTCCTTCTCAGCTGTTTCTTCTCACCATCTCCATTTTCCTGGGGCTGGGCCAGCCCAGGAACCCCAAAAGCAAGAGGAAGGGGCAAGGGCGGCCAGGGCCCCTGGCCCCTGGGCCTCATCAGGTGCCACTGGACCTGGTATCACGGGCAAAGCCATACGCCCGCATGGAGGAATACGAGAGAAACCTTGGGGAGATGGTGGCCCAGCTGAGGAACAGCTCTGAGCCAGTGAGGAGGAAGTGTGAGGTCAACCTGCAGCTGTGGCTGTCCAACAAGAGAAGCCTGTCACCATGGGGCTACAGGTAGGCCAGGCTGGGTAGCCGTGGGCAAGCTGCGTTGTGTGTTGAGGGTTGGGGGGAACGGACGACACCTTGCCTACTGTTCCCATCATTGTAACAGTTAAGACTTTGGATGCAGAGGCCTGAATGCCTGGGATGGAATCCTGGCTCTGCTTCTTACTTGCTATGTGGCTTTGGGCAAGCTGCTTAACCTCTCTGAGCCTCAGTTTCCTCAACTGTAAATGGAGGTGATAGTAATACCTACTTAATAGACTTGTTATTAAATAAGATATCCATGCAGAGCACTACTGTTATTGTTCAAATCCCTGCTGAAGTACCTGCAAGGCCTTCTCTGAATGTCTCTTCCTTCAGCTTGGAGTATCCCGTATACACCTCTCAGTTACAGCATTCCCAGGTGGCCCTGAGTTGACTGTGTCTCATGCTAGACTAGGGCCTACCCAATGCTTGCATTAGAGTCATCTACAGATTCTCATGCTCCATCCAATCAAAACCTCCAGGGCCGAGGCCCAGAAAGTGGGATTTTTTACATCTTCACGTGATTAGGGTGCACAGCTAGGCTGGGAATCATGACCTGCGGCTCCTAGATGACCGGGGGTGGTGTCTTACCTTGGTTGTAGCTCCGCTTCCTAGCACAGCACTTGGCACTCAGAAGGGGCCACATGTATATGTGTGAATGGATAAGGGAGAAATAGACTGCCTTGAAGGGTCCTCACTCGCAAACCCAGGCCACACAACTGACGTCCTGAGACTCCAGAATAACATGTTCAAGAGAACTTTCTGTGATGATATCAAGTCCAACTAGTCTCATGTGGCTCGTGTGATGGGGGAGCTAACTTTGATTAATTTAAATAGTCACATGTGGCTAGTGGCTACCATATCAGGATTGTGGCAATTGGAAGGGTAGATAAATATCCTCCAAACCTGGGCCTCTCACTTTACTGTGCCCGTGACTTTTTTTTGGATCTTATGAAGATGCAGGTTCTGATTCAAGAGGTGGTGTTGGGGGGATGAGATTCTGCATTTCTTTTTTTCTTTTTTTAAATATATCTTTATTGATTTCAGAGAGAGGAAGGGAGAGAGAGAGGTGAAACATCAATGATGAGAGTCGACATTAATCGGCTGAGAGCCCACAACCTGGGCATGTGCCTTGACTGGGAATCGAACCTTGATCTCCTGGATCCTAGGTCGATGCTCAACCGCTGAGCCACACCCAGCTGGGCGGATTCTGCATTTCTAACAAGCTTCTAGATGATCCTGACCCTGCAGGCCCACAAGTCAAGTTCATCCCCTACATTTAGCAGATGAGGAAACCGAGCCTCAGATAAGGCCGCAAATTAAGTCCCTATACCTCTGTGTTGTCCATAAACGAACACCTAATGTCAAGGACAGACTCACTCATGTGGAGGGTGGGTGAAATATATTTGTTGCATAAATACAGATTAAGTTGGAATAGACCCTAGGCCTCCTGACCCCTCTTCCAGTGGGAATCAGGTATAAATGTTCTCATATATTACTTCCCATGGGTTAAGTTTCTTAAAAGTATAAACAAGGGGGAGAGGGGAAGGAGACAGAGGGTCCTTAGCTTCTTTGCTACCCCACAGGACCATGTAGTATTAGGATAAGGTCTTGCTGGGTGAAAGAAGAAAACTGGGTGACTGGTGACCTTAAACCTGGATACCCTTGGGGAGCCTGACTTGCCTTCCCAGCTTCCTTTCCTCACCTGGAACACATAGCACAGTGTTGCCGTGGGAATGAATATCCGGGGTTATGAAAGCAGGGGCATGGGTGCTGATTTGCTGCCCCCCACCCTGGCGCCCGGCCCAACACACCAGCAGCTCTGCGTTCTCTCCTGCCCTCCTGCAGCATCAACCACGACCCCAGCCGTGTCCCTGAGGACCTGCCAGAGGCGCGGTGCCTGTGTCTGGGCTGCGTGAACCCCTTCACCATGCAGGAGGACCGCAGCATGGTGAGCGTGCCTGTGTTCAGCCAGGTGCCCGTGCGCCGCCGCCTCTGCCCGCTGCCCCCGCGCGCCGGGCCCTGCCGCCAGCGCGCGGTCATGGAGACCATCGCCGTGGGCTGCACCTGCATCTTCTGAAGCCCCCCCCCAGGCCCAGAGCCCGCGGGCAGCCGGAGGCCGCCCTCCCTGCACCCCTCTGCCGCACAAGGCCGATGAAAAGTAA